CCCGGGAGGCGGAGCTTGCAATGAGCTGAGATCCGGCCACTGCACTCCAGCCTGGGCGACACAGCGAGACTCCGTCTCAAAAAAAAAAAAAAAAGAAATAGAGGAGTGTAAATAATAGCAGATAGGCCAGGCACAGTGGCTCACACTTGTAATCCCAGCAGTTTGGGAGGCTGAGGCAGGTGGACCACCTGAGGTCAGGAGTTCGAAACCAGCCTGACCAACGTGGTGAAACCCCATCTCTACTATAAATACAAAAATTAGCTGGGCGTGGTGGTGCGCGCCTGTAATCTCAGCTACTTGGGAGGCTGAGGGTTGGGAATTGCCTGAACCCGGGAGGCAGAGGTTTCTGTAAGCTGAGATTGCGCCATTGCACTCTAGCCTGGGCGACAAGAGCAAAATTCCATCTCAAAATAATAATAATAATAATAATAATAATAATAGCGGATAGTTTTTATCTTACTTCTCAAGTGTCCATTCTCCCTTATGCCTTGAGAATCACTTTCCATTGATTGCATTTGGGGAAAGTGTTGGGGATAGATGTGTGTTGACCTCCATATGACTATTTCTCCCCTCTCCCTTTTCTTTCTCCATGGACAACTGCTTGTTTTCTTCTACTTCTGGCCCAGAGATCGTGGGCTGTAATCCACCTTGCTGGGATACTGCTGAAGTAAGGGTAGAAGGCGGGGTTTGGAGAATGTGGGCCAGGTACCACTTCTCTTTCATGGTATGATAACAAAGTCATAGGGTAGATGAGACTTCACTGAAGGAATGGGGAAGATTAACACCGGAGGCAGACCGAGCCCAGTGATTTACGCTTGTAATTCCAGCACTTTGGTAGGTCAAAGTGGGCAGATTGCCTGAGCTCAGGAGTTCAAGACCAGCCTGGGCAACATGGCGAAACCCTGTTTCTACAAAAAATATAAAAATTAGTTGGTGTAGTGGCATGCACCTGTGGTCCCAGCTACTCAGGGCGCTAAGGCAAGAGAATCGCTTGAGCCCAGGAGATTGAGGCTGCAGTGAGCCATGTTCATGCCACTGCACTCCAGCCTGGGCAACAAAGTGAGATAAAAAAACAAAACAAAACAATCAAACAAAATCACTGGAGGGAAATAATTTTAAACTTAAGCTAAAAAGAATTTTTGTGGTCTAAAGAAAAAGGGAAATTAAAATCTCTATGAGGTACTCCTCGTGGGTGCTTCCATGTTTCTAACCTTATGCTCTGGTCTTGAGATCTCTGTTTCTCTCCATTCTGAGAGCACTTCCTTCAAGCTTTGCAGAGCTCCATCTTTCAGTAAAACCCTAGCCCCTCCTGCATGGGTTGGCCTTACCCCAGGATCTGCACCGCGCCTTTGCTCCTCTATCCCACACCCTCTCCAGGAGTACCTCGCCCCAGGTCAGACCAATTCACTCTAGATAATCTAAGACAAGTCTTTGTTAGGACAGTGGAGAGTAGAAGGGACTGCAAAGCAGATCTGTGTAGAAGTGTCCATCGTAGCGTATATTTATGCCTCTGTCCATGTGACATTCAACTGGTAACATGCCCTTCCAGTGACAGACATTCATTCTTAGATATAGCACCAGCCAAACCCAAGGAAGAAGAATGTATTTACCACTAAGATGTTATTATGCAGAGCAGCTGGAGTTCAGTTCTTGGATGAGGCCCCATCCTTTTCCTCCTTCCTCCATCAGGGGCTAGTTTAGTTCTCCCAGTAACAGTCATTTCCACTTTCCTATGAATTTACTTTCATGTTTGTTAAAATGCTTTATTAAATGTGTAGCTAGAGTTGTCCCAGTTTTTAAGTTAACAAACCAAAGCTTAGAAAAAATTTTGTTTGATAATGAATCAAAGAGTGTTACTCGGCTGAGCGCAGTGGCACACACCTGTAATCCCAGCAGTTTGGGAGGCCGAGGCAGGCATATCACTTGAGGCCAGGAGTTCAAGACCAGCCTGGCCAACATGGTAAAACTCTGGCTCTACTAAAAATACAAAAATTAGCTGGGCGTGATAGCAGGCGCTGAGGCTGGAGAACAACTTAAACCTGGGAGGCGGAGGCTGCAGTGAGCCAAGATCACACCACTGCACTGCAGCCTGGGTGACAGAGTGAGACTGTTTCAAAAAAGCGTGTTACTGAAGAAACATTGAGATTACTTTCAGAATTTTTGTATTCGTATTTTTAAAATTTGAATGTGTTTCTTTAATTTCTTACAGGGCTCTCACCTTTGTGTATCCTTTTGGTGCCACATTGAGTGTCATGAAACCAGCAGTGGCTGTTCTGTCTACAGGTTCTGTCTGCTTCCCACTTAACAGACCCATTCTGGCTTTCTATCACTCAAAGGTACAGCCTTTCTTAAATGTGGGTATAGATATTATTTTTATTGTTGAAATAAAAACTACCTGACCATTTCCAGAAGGCTTTTATATATTTTCTCATTGGTCATCCTGCCAGTCCTGCAAAGGAATATCTCAGCTATATACATTTTGCTTATGGGGAAACAGTGGATTGTCCAGT